GGATCATAGGTTTGAATGTTGGGTAGGTAGGAGTGTTGTAATTTTAGGGTAGCCAGAGAAAAGATAAGTTTGGACATGAAGATGAAGGAGATAGAAGTGTTAGAGAATATCTGGAAGACAAGAGTTTCAGGTGGAGCCTCTACACTGAGCAGCCTGCACTGTGGCTTGGAATGAATGAATGTTAGAATAGTGGAAGAAGAGGTGAGAGAGTTAGCAATAGTGGAAAGGTAGTGACGGTCTGTGATTCTTTGATTTTTCTCTCATTCCATTTTGTAGAAACAGTCATGTCTTTTGACAAAGAACAACCTTGATTTAATAAATTGTTACTTTTCTAGACTCTCAGGCTAGATTAGACACAATTTTTGCACTGTTCTACCATCCTGTGCTTATTTATGAAAAAACATTTGTCAAAAATACTTACGAAAAAACTGTTTTTCTTTAACTTACTGTAGTTTTAAGGATCCTGTCAGGCTCCCATTTCTCCAAGGATCTGTGTTAATGAGCATTTAATTCTAAGGCAGCAAATATGTGGGGTTAATGGAGGAGACGGGAGGAAGACTGGTGGGGAAGGACCGAGTGTGCTGTGGGTGGGGAGAGTGAGTGGGTTGGAACAAGAATTTGGAAGAGTAGTAGCTGGGTGAAAAGAATCAGAGCAAGGGAAGTTGGTGAGGACAGGTACCAGAGAAGTCATGGTGGCCTAAACTTTCAAAGTTACTCAAGAAGGACGGTTGCCTGATAAAAGCTGGTGTGTGGTCATAACAAAGACCTATTAAAAGGATCATTTAAATGCACAGGAATAACCTGGGAGGTGTGCCATCACCACTGTCTTCCCAGCTGTCTTTGGAGAGAAACCTCCTTCACTCCTCCCACAGACCTTGGCACTTTCCTCGGATGTGGGTATGAAGTGATTTTTGAGGACTAGCCCCTTACTTAGATCTAGTAGGTCTTGGCATGTCCAACCTCCTCAATACCAATGTCTTAAGATTCTGGCAAACTGTAGAAAATAGGGACACTAGAGGAGAAGAGATAGGAAAATCCCCATGGTCTAATGTGTTACTCTTGTTCTAAATGAATTACTTCATTAACTTACTTGTCTTACGTCTGATTGCCTGCTCTTAACTTTTCACCTTGAATGATTGGCTGGATGGAAAGTTAATCAGGATAGTCAACAGCTAAAAATCCTACCAACATCAGTTGGATTCAAGTTTAGCAACGTTAGTGGAACCCGGTTTATTTATTTATTTATTTTAAACAACAGGCATTTATTTTTCATAGATTTGGAAGCCAGCAAGTCCAAGATCAACGTGCTAGCTGATTTGGTTCCCCAGTGAGGGCTCTCTTCCTAGATTGCAAGTAGTCACTTTCTTGCTGTGTCCTCACATGGTGGAGAGTAGAGAGGAAGGCAGGTCCTTTGATGTCTCTTAGCATTAATCCCGTCGTGAGGGCCTCACACTCATCATCTTATCTAAATTTAATTACCCCCTAAAGTCCCCATCTCCAGATACCAAGTTGGTGGTTAGGGCTTCAACATATGAGTTTTAGATTGGAGGGGACACAGTTTAATCCATACCATAACTAAAATATATTCTATAGAATTGGAGGAATCATTTAACATGTAGGACTAGAAAGGAGTGAAACAATTACAATGGTGTTTTTAAAGTTCATCTAGTGGTGATACACAGTATAATTTGAAGGACAAACAAGACAGCTACCAGTTTACAGCCTAATACAGATGTACAAACATGAAGTAACCAGTGGACTTAAACTGGTTTAAGTTGGGGGGGAGGTGCTTTAATAGGAATGGAAATGAAAAGTATGACTAATGAAATGAAAATCAGAATGACTAATGCTTTAAAAAGTTATTTAGAATCTTAAGTTTCTGTGAATAATTTGATGGGAGCTGGGGAAGGTTTGAATAGATTTTATAAAATAGAAGAGAGTAAAAATGAATCCCATGAGTCTCTTTTATCCTTAGAGACTAAGTGGGTAATAGCACCATCATCTGAAAAGGACGTGCATTAAGTCAGAGTTCTAGTGGGCAGAGCACAGAACTAGAATTCAGGAATTAAGTATTTTAGTTCTAATTCTGAAGATTCTGCATATAAGTTTAGGAAAATAATAACCTTTTCTAGGTTTTAAAAGTCCACCCCCAGATAATCCTGATGGTCCATATTCGTTGTAGAATTACAGTAAAAATCCCATAAAATCCTGCCAAAAATCCCATAAAAAGAAGCCTCACAGTAAGCCTGCCTTTGTCTGCCTTGACTCTGGCCCTCTCCTCCCTTGGAGTGTATTCAGATAAAACTTTCATTCGGCTTTGCTACTGTGTCTTTCCCTTTCAGTTCTTTGTTGCAGTGGGACAAGAACTGGAGGAGAACAAACTCAACATGTAACGTCTTAAAGTGCCTACATATTTCTAGACTAAAACCAATGCTTTTCAAACCACTAGTAGTGACCCACTGATGAGTCATAATCGATTTTGTGGGTCATGGTCAATTTAAGAGAAATGAAATAGAAAATAATTAAAATAAGCATCCCATTTAAGTAAAGGCAATTATTATTTATATGTGTTTGTGTAGTGAGACTCCACATAGTTGTTTCTATTTTTACTATGGGTTGTGGTTAAAAAATGTTTGTAAAAAGTTACCTTTAAATCCTTTATTGGCCTACAGAATTTCTGACATGACAAGATTCTGAGACTAAATTCATAGAAAGCATGAAATTAATGGAGCATAATCTGCTTTACAAATAAAGGTTATTAATTAGAGTTACCATTTATTAATTAATTTAACAAATTCTATATTTATTACATTCCCATGTTATGCCAGCACTGTTCTTTGTGCAGAGGATACAGCAGTTAACAAAAGACAATTCCTTCCCTTTGGAGTTTACATTTTACTGGATACACAATAGAAAAGAATCAAGATAAAGTTTATACTATATTAGATGGTGATAAGGGCTTGAAGGTGAAAGAGAAGGGGAGATTGGGGATGTGAATTAGAGTTTGGTTGGAGTATTTGAGACGCTCTCTGAGAAGATGACTTGGGACAGAATCCCGAAGGTGGCAAGGAGCCAGCCCTGCAGGTTTTGCATGATGAGCATTCATATTAGACAGATAGCGAATACAAGGGCCCTAAGCAAGGTAAAGTGTTTCATATGTTCAGGAAATTGCAAGGAGGTTAGTGTGGTTAGAGTGAAGTAGATGGGGGAGAGGAGTATGAGATTCCTGCAGGGTGGTATGTGGGGTTGGAGGCATTGAAAGACTTGGCCTTTTACTGAGTGAACCAGAAAGCCATTTGAGGGTTTTGAGCTTAATGGTGATATAATATGATTTCTTTAACAGAAGTACTTCACCTGCCATGTGGAGAAGACACTGAGGTGGGGTGAGGGAGGAAGCACTGTTGGACTTAAGTTCAGTGGGGAAGTCAGAATTGGAGAAATTTAGGAGAGACATCAGTGAATGGATTATAATTAAAGCCTCAGTTGGGATGAGGTTATCAAGAGAGCTCATTTTCTGTTTTCTAGGCATGTGCTAAACACCTGACATTGATTTATGTTATTTTGTAAAATGACTGTGTAAGTACCCTTAGTCTATTCTTAAATATGATACTTTTCTATATTAATATTTATGAAGTTAACATGTATGAACCAATTGAGATATGTGCATTTACTATAAATTTCTCTCCAGCTCTACTACAAAACAAACTGCCATTTAATAGTTGGTGCCCACCCCCCCCCAGTACACAAGCATATATTCTATATTAGTATCAGGAAAGAACACAAGTGGTCAAAACCTTCTAAGAATGGTAACATATTAACTGACTCTCTTGTCAGACAATGAGTACTTGCTATGATGACAGACTGTTCTGAGTCTAGAAATACTGGGGAAAGATAGGCCTTTCAAGAAATTCACCTAATTCTTACAGAAGCTCAGAGGAACCAGGGATAGCATCCTAGTGTTCTGAACTGAGTCATGACGGCCAAGTGAGGAAGGGGTGGCGGTTAGATGTGTGCAGAGCATTTCAGGCATAGGAAACTTGTACAGTGATGAAAATCTATTTAAGTACTTCAGCATGGTGTGTGTGCGTGCGTGCGTGCGTGCGTGCATGTGTGTGCTGTGTGCTCAAGCATGCTGGAGTTTGGTGGAGGTGGGGTGGGGGAAGCAGAGAAGGGAGGGAAAGGGGAGTACTGAAAAAAAAATCATGACTCTTACATGTAAAAGGATTTTAGTTTAATCTTGAAAGCCATATTGAAAGGTTTTTAGCAAAGAGATGACAAAAACAATTGCTTGTTGACAAGACCATCCTGGCAAAGGATCACTGCTTAATGAAACAGACTCATCTAGCAAGTATTATAGAAAAATTACTGTATGCCAGACAAGACTGGGAGCCAGATGGCCATCTAGAAAGCAACTGCAGTATCTTAGCCTGCAAACGGTAGTAAGGAAGCAGTGTGGTTTGAGGGTTAAGAGGCAAAACTGTCAATTCTAGGTATATCAGATGCGGCTTAGAGCGGGGAGGCGAAAGGGAAATCTAAGAGGATTCCCAAGTTGAATAGTTTGTGCTTTTTAAAAGAGCTGTTACCTTTAAGTCTAAGAAATAAGAATATTTGCCTTTTAAGATACAGAAATACATTTAAAAGTTACAAACTTGCCGAAGATGCAGCCGGTGTGTGCCCTATTTAGAATTCCAGTTTAATCTTCTCCAACTCCAAAGCCCAGGTTTCTAAACACCACACACAGGTCTTGAACACGTGAAACACAAATACTTGTCCTTTATATATGATTTTTGCTTAGTGATTAGCTGTTGTAGTTTTTCGTAGGACAAAGTTACAATTCTTGAGTTGCATAGACTGCTAATCATAGATATTAATCTGTCATCCTCTTTGCATCTTAGTGTCCTTAATCTGTGAAATAATGATGTTTATAAGTGTTTTGGAAAGAATTAAGTAAGAAAACTCATTTTTCTGTACTTACTGATGTGCAGTGTGTTTGTACTTAGGTGGAAGTTTATATAAAGGAAGCACTGGGGCTTGTGGCCACACCCTTCAAGAGTAAAAAGAAATTAGAAAATGGAGCAACCGTGTATGTTATATGAGGAAGGACGAGAGCCAGAGCCGGAGAAGAGCATCAAAGAGACCAAACAAGTAGGTGATGAAGATGCTGAACTGATCTTTGTTGGGGTGGAACACGTAAACAAAGATGCTGAACTGATCTTTGTTGGGGTGACTTCAAATTCAAAACCAGTCGTTTCAAATATTTTGAACAGAGTCACCCCAGGTTCATGTTCAAGGAGAAAAAGGTTTGGTCATCTCAGAAAAGATGCTGCTTGCAATTTGCAGCCTTTTCATCGTGTGACCCCTACACCAGCTGCAGTGAATGTCTTGCCAGTTTCTGAATCTGACTCAAGATCAACATATAGTCCTGTTATTATTGAGCCTTTGTCTAAAGCTGATTACAAAAATAATTCACCGCGAGTCGTGCCTGATAGCTGTGCAGAGTCATGTTCTCCTGTGGTCACTTTCACCAGTTCACTGCAGCACCCAGAGGGAGTAGCACTTTCTGAGGGAGCTACGAATAAAAGTCCTTCCATATCAAAGCGACTTTCCACTTCTGAAGTAAACACTGTAAATCCCAAAAGGCCTGAGCTCAGTGATGGAATCACAGAGGGACATATTTCAGCATTGCCCCCTTCAGGCGTCTTTCATACAGTGACTACTCAGCAAAGCACACCCTCAAGCCTTGTTCAGACTTCATTAAGCCATGTTCAGGATGGAGCATCTTCTCCAACAGGTTTTCCAAAGGACAGTGTCCATTTCAGGCCTGTAAATCCTGGTAGGGAAAATAAACTGGCCAAAACAGACTTACTGGGTCTAGCAAGTCAAAATAAGACTGTTGATCCCAAGAAAGGAACTCTGATTGTGTCACTTCATGACTTTTACTACGGACAGCATAAAGGAGATGGGCAGCCCGAAAAGAAGACTCATACAACTTTCAAATGCCTCAGGTGCTTGAAAGTTCTAAAAAATGTCAAGTTTATGAATCATATGAAACATCATTTGGAACTTGAGAAGCAGAGGAATGACAGCTGGGAAGTCCACACCACCTGCCACCACTGCCACCGGCAGTTTCCCACACCCTTCCAACTGCAGTGTCACACTGAAAGAGTACACACTACCCAGGAGCTCTCCACTGTCTGTAAAATTTGTGAGTTGTCATTCGAAACAGATCAGGTTCTCTTAGAACACATGAAGGACAATCATAAGCCTGGTGAAATGCCGTATGTGTGCCAGGTTTGCAATTACAGGTCATCAGCCTTTGCTGATGTGGACGCACATTTCAGAACATGCCATGAAAACACTAAGAATTTGCTTTGTCCGTTTTGTCTCAAAATTTTCAAAACTGCAACACCGTACATGTGTCATTATAAAGGACACTGGGAAAAGAGTGTTCACCAGTGTTCCAAATGCCGGCTACAGTTTTTAACTTTCAAAGAGAAAATGGAACACAAGACCCAGTGTCATCAAATGTTTAAGAAACCTCAGCAACTAGAAGGTTTGCCTCCTGAAACAAAAGTTGTTATTCAGGTGTCGCTGGGTCCTCTGCGACCAGGATCAGTGGAAGTAGCATCCATTACTGTGAGCACGTCTGATTCTGAACCATCACCTCCCAGGTCTAAAAGTAGAGTTTCAAAAAACTCATATTAATTCTAGTTTCAGGAATTCTAAAGCAAGTATTTCAAAGTCAAAAACCCCATAAAATACAAACCATACATTATTCAATAGCATCAAAAATAGTGAAACTATTGGGTCATTTATGAATTTTTTAAAATTGAAACACAATACTGTTTGATCTGAATTTTGTGATGCTATTTAAAAATGTACTACCTAGTTTTTATGTAATTGTATCTGGCTTAACACATAAAAGGTATTTGTGTGTGTGTATGAGGGAGAGAAAAAGTGGAAACCTATTATTTTGGTATTTCATGTTACTTGTAAATTTGAAAGCTCTTCCTTCTATATATAGCATCCGTAGAGTTTTTTAAGTCCTTAATTTTATTTTCAACTTTTTACATGCCTCAAAGATTTCAAAATTAACTTTAGTCAGACTGGAATGGCTTTGTTATGGTGTGGTCTCACTTGCTGCTGAACTTCCAGAAGTGCCTCTGTTATACTGGTCTAGAATAATCTGGCTCTGAAAGCCTGGGTGTGGTTTGGAAGTTGAGGGGGAAGCTGTGTGTGAATGGGAACCAGAAACTGGACGGTCCTCGGTGGAGAACAGTGGTTCCTTGTCTCAGTTGAGGGAGAGGCACACATTCACCTTAGACTTGGAGCCAAGGCAGAAGGAAAACTGTCTCAGAGTATTTCTGCCTAATCCAAGAACATCCGAGGAAGCAAAACCATCAAAATGCCTATGTTTGTCTGAGGCGTCCCTACAGACATTAAACAGGTGTTGTCTGTCCAGGTGCTGAACTGGGCTAAGTTTAATTCTCTTGCTTTTAAGATGGAATGGCAGTTGTCCATGAAAAGTCAGTACAGTGGATAAAAGTAGCCCAGAGCAACTGATGGGGCTTTTATTTATGTTCTGTGTATATGTGTCTTATCCTAATTGAACATGTGAAGTTTGCAATTTTGTGTCTTGCCTGGGACATGAATGTATTAATAGTTTTTCTCACGTTGTGTGTATAATTTCCCATCTTACCAAGTTAATATTGACACACTCTTATGCACAAGAAATGTCCCATTTATTCCAGTAAGTATTAGGTCTTTAGAGTTACTGTCCTTCATCTAACCACCTGACTAGTCCGTGACTATGTTATGGTGGGACCTTATCCCTCGCCGGTGGGACCTTATCCCTCGCCATCATCTCCAAGAGCTCTCTCACAGAACAGTCAAGTGCCCTGAGCATTGTTCCTGAGCATCAGTGGTCTTGGCTGCTTCTGTGGGTCCCCAGGGTTGAGTCTCCCTAGTTTTAGTGCCATTTCTTCTTCCTCCACCTTGGCCGAGGTACCTAGCAGCCTCTGTGTACCACTCACAGAGTCTGTGATCCTGGCTGTAGCCCTAAACCAGGAGAAATCTCTCCTTTTTTCTCTAGCTTTCTCCTCCTCTTCCTTAAAGGCACCTTATCTTTCACTGCTCCTTTCTTCCCCCCTCAATCTAGTTAAATTCCCTAAGCTTTCATAAAAAGCTGGGGAGTGATAGTCACCAAGGGCTTAGTTTCCCATTTAGAACTGGGGAGGAAGCACTACAGGTAACAAAGTAGCTGTGAGTATATTGTTTATGTTTTTGAGAGTTTTACCTTGTGTATATTCTGTTGTATTTATTTGCAAAATGCTTGACTGAATGATTGATTGCACTTTGAACATTTTACTAGGCCTTTTCAGTTAGTTTGCTTGGGCCATCGCACTTTGCTAAATACCAGCCTGAACCCCCTGTCTTCACGTGTAGAAAGTCTCTGTGTGTGTGTGTGTACGTGTTCCACTTGTTCTGGTCTCAGGTGGGATCTTCTATGTATAAACAGATGTGTAGGTTTTTGCAAACTTACCTCCCTTAATTCTGTTTCTCTGGTAAAAATATGTTTTAGTACTTTGTTTTTGTGGTTGCATAGTAATACCAAAATTGTTATTACTGTTTGCTATTTCACTAAAGTATGCTCCTAAGGAGTACAGTTTGTTATTTATTGCCAACTGTAGGTTCCGGTGATAGGTCCCTCTCTACCTCCTCTCTCTCCCATTCGCAGCAGTGCCGCCGCTCCATTTTCCCACTGGTGTACATTCCTGACACACTGGCCTTGCTCTTCCTCAAGCGAATCACATTTCTTCCCTGTCCAAAGACTTTGCAGCTGCTCTTCCTCTTAGAATGCTCTTCCCTAGGCCTGCATGGCTTGCTACCTCGCTCTGAACACTTTCATTCATTGAGCTTTACTGATGTTCTTAAAATGAAACTGACAATGAGATCCTCCTCGCCCTGCTCCCCTTTTTCCTGCTCACCCCTTAAAGGCACCTTAAGCCTCCCCACTCCTTACTTCCCTCTCCAATCTAGTTAAATTTCCTAGGGTTTCACAAAAAGCTGGGAAGAGAAGTTTTCAAGGGCTTTGCTTTTCCCTTAGATTGAGCTAGCTTGCATCAATTTCTGTGCCTGCAACCAAAAGAAAATGAATATAGTGAGTTGAGTTCTTTCAGGAGCTTTCTCTGTTATATCGATACCTCTCTATTTTTTTAAGGCAATGTCACTTTGTTTTGTTTACAAATATATTGAATATCTGTCAAGATTACTATTTTGTTATTGCTCTTTGTGAATTTCCTTGTCTATTTTGCTTGCTTGTATTTTGAGATAAAATTTATTTTATTAATGTTGCCAAAATTTGTAAGTAAAATAGTGATTATAGTAATAAAATGTGTTTTTGAAAACTGTGTTTCCTCTATATTGTCTTTTCACCAATAACATGCCATATTTTTAGTTTTATTTAAGTTTTATTTTATATCACTATGTAAGTTCTTTGCCTTCCTGCCAGTTGAGTTTATTTTTAATTTATTGCATTGGCCAGAACTTTTAAACAATGATATGTAAATGGGCTTTTGTACTTTTGGTTTTAACAAGAAATGTTTACCACTAAAGGTAATGAGTGTGCTGCTTAATTTCTATTTCTACCTTTAGAATCTTTAAAGAGAACTGTTTAATTTTATTGGGTAGTTTACAACATCTATTGAGATAATCATTTATTCGCTCTTTTCTTTACTATGCCGAGGTGTTGCTTGGCTAGATTCACAGCTTTTCTATTAGAAACCTTCCTTTCCTAAAGTAAAAATATTTCCACATGGGGTGGAATATAATCCTTCTACTCAGAATCTCATTCCCTTTCTCATTTCTAATATTGAAATGTATTTCCTCTTCCCCTCATTAGATTTGCCAGAATTTTATCCATGTTTCTCATTTACTTTTTATAAGAAACAACTCTTGGTTTATTATCCCAACTAGTTATGTGTTCTCTATTTTTGTCTTAATTCATGATATACCTTCTACTTTCTTTAGGACTGTTCTTTTTTAAAAGCTTAATTTTTTTCTTTAATAAAGGATTTAAGACTTTGCTTACCTTTGCTTACAGCTTTGTCTGAATCCCAAATATTTTATGCATATTCTGATTTTTATTAAATTTTTCATTCTTTCCACTTCTTTTTGGTGAAAGTTAATTCCAAAGACTTAAACATTTGCAGCCTGAATTAGTTTTAATTTATAGCTTACCATGAATTTAGTTTTCCTTGGAGCTTTGAGAGTGTGTGTGTCTATATACTGACATGCTTGTTATGTACACATCCTTTTCATATTACTACACGGGCTATTTTTAAAAAGATAGTTTATATTTGTATGATAAAAATATGAAATGATTTATGTCTGGAAATCTGTCCTCCTCAAAAGAACATACTATAAAAGATAAAGGTTATTACAGAAATTACTTTTTTTTCTTGTGTGCAAAATACATAAAACTCCTCCCAAGGCTCCCAAAGGTGGGAGTCTAGAATCTCATCATTCAGATTAGGAACAGATATGGATCAGGGTCCATGGGTGGTGGTCCTTATGTGCATAATATAAAATAATCATTTTAGAGTAATTCCTAGTAACAAAACTTGAAAATGTTATGGTAAAGAAAACTTGACTCCAGGGAAGACTACTACAAATGGAGTTTTGTAATAGTGGAGAGAAATTAAGCTTAACTCTGATCTCAAGGACAAAATTGGGATTTATAACCAAGGAGCAAGGAGCAGGGTGGATGTCAGTGGGCAGAAAATATCCACTTTCCTTAGTAAAGAAAGAATATCAGGGGTCAGGTGGATTCTGTCTAAACTGACTTGGCGGGATTATGGCTGAGGACAAGCAAAGGTGATAAGGTATCAAGGGTGGTGGATTTTCCCTAAGCTGACCCAGCAGGATTGTTGCTAAAACTGGATGAAACAGGCAGAAACACTGGACTAAAGACAAAGCTCAATGTTGGGAGTGTGTTATCTATTGCTGCATAACAAATCACCATGTAACGAATGTAAGATAAACTCTAGCCGAAATAAGCAGGCGAAGAGAGGCAACAAAGGGCCGGGTGGTTTATTTGAGCGCAGGGTGACATTCCGCGGTCTCCCGGGTGATGTTCTGCGGTCTGGCTATCACAGGCTGGGGAAGTCACGCTCAGCAGGGCAGGCAGCGAGTTTTTAAAGAAGGTAGGGGAAGGCAGAGCTTAGATTTACAGCGGCATGAGGATTGGCTAGCCTGAGGCACATATTTTCAGGTTGGGAGGGGGCAGCAGCTGGGGGCTTTGGCGCGTCATCGGTGTCCCCTCAGTGCCTTCAACCTTACATTCCAGCCTTTTGGTCATAATGGGCGATGACTTGATCTGGCTACTTCTGGCTGACAAGGGGCATCGGTGGTGGTGGTGGGGGTTTCGTAGCATGTAGTTACATTGCTCTGATTGCAAATATCCTGCCTTGCTTTCTCCAGAGGCTCTCACCTTATTCTGTCTAAGCTTATGGTCCCTGTCTAATTTTCCCTCTACAGATAGAGACTGTACCTGCTGCAGGGAAAAGGGGCGATGACTGCTCCGGCTGCTTCATGCTGAGAAGGGGCGCAGTAAAGGGTGCAGCTAGGTTTCTATCACTGGTCAGTTGAGAGGGCCTTGGAAGGTTGGTGCTTCTATTCTGGAAGGACAAACTTGATGAGATTAAGAATGCATGGCTGAATATGAGAACTAGAAATATGAAAAGTCTAATTGAGAATCGTAGCCAGGTATCATGGGGAAACTAAAATTTTGGATTGAGTTTACATTTCAATGACTAGTATTAGAATTTAGTATAGATAAGCCTGTATTATTGAAACAATACTTTTCTCTAAAATCACCCTCATTTTTATTAGAAGTAACCAGGTTAAGAAAATAAGTAACACTTGGCTTGATTATTTGCATAAGTGCAGCAAGAAGAGCAATTGATTACACAGGCTCTTTTAAATATGCTTTGCTGGAACTTACTGTAAGGAATTTCTGATTGAACTTTTAAGGGCTTCTTGAGGCCAGAAAGCCAAGCCAGACTTGCCATCAGGTTGTGCCTGCAGTACCTGTAGATTTAGGTGAATTCCTCTCTTCTTGAGGTTCCTGCACCTGCCAGGCAGTGACCTTCCTTACTCACCTGGTAAGGCGGCTGGGAACCCTGTAAGCAAGGTACCAGACCAGTTCTTTCAACGGGCTTTGTTGGCTCTATAAAGTCAACCTTAGTTCCTTAAAGCTGTCTGTTTATATCTGAGTTCATGCACGTGTCTCTCAGGTATGACATTCCAGTCAAAGCCTTGGTAATGTAACCAGTGTTTTTAATTAGTCCTCTTACAAGGAAAGCAGATTCTTATTGAACTTGTGCAAATAAACATACTGCCATGAAATACAAAAAAGTCACTGAGAGTTTTTAAATTCTGGAGGGATCAGGTAGAGAAAAAGAAGTTTCGATTCTGCTTACAAAGGCAGTCATTTACTAAACTGTTGTCAGCTTAAGAGAAAAAGCTTAAAACACTTTCTCAACAACATTTGAAATAAAAAGCCACAAAATCATCTTCCTTAGTTTACTTAATCTTACGTAACTAATACTTGTTCTGCTGAAATCTAGTTCTTTACTAGCTTAAGAGTAATAAAACTGAGTATAGATGACAAAAGACTTACAAATGACAGTGGTTAAAGATCTGATGAGAGCTTACTGTAAGACAGTTGACATAAGGAAATTCTGATATTTCTGTAATACAAAACATTCAGTAACAAAGTTTAGCATTATTTTTTTTGACAGTGCTTTCTAGGTAATTAAGCAGGTAATTATATATCAGATAAATAAGCTAAATTAGCCAAATACTTCCTCCAATGAGAAAAAGTTCCTCTGGCATGTTCCAGGGGCCCTCTGGAAAATATCAGAGTTAACTAGAGGTAAAAGTACCTTTTTGAATTTAATTTTGGGAAGCTGTTAAAAGTTTTAAGGCACTTGCTTAAATAGAATTATAGGTTGCTATGAAGCAATACTTATCTATTTAACCAGAATGACAACAAAATACCTCAAAGGCAAATAAAGAAGGTTACACAGTTTTAGCAAACCTTAGCTTTTAGTCCTTTTAATGTTAAGATCTCATTTTATTAAATACTCTGACAACTCATTGAGACTTGAAGCATGAGAAACTCCTTTGAAAAAACAATTAGAAAACTTTTTGCAATTTTTCAATATTAAGAGCAGACTAACAGTTAAGAAAACTTTGTCGTTTTAGCTGAAAACAAAATTCTAATTTTGCTCTGTACTTGGTACCGATATTCATTTGCTTTAATTTTATACAGCATGACCATATTAAATTCTTCTAAAAACTTTCTACAACTTTCTTTTTATATTTAGAGTTCTCTCTCTAAATAAACAGCTGTACTTTAGAACAAAGTTACTTTCTTTTATCAAGACACATTCTTTAGGATGCAGAAATGTTTTCCTTATTACTTTAAGTAGTTTTAATTAGGACTTTAAACTATTAGGTACTTTAATTTTTAGTGAACACAGAGGCAGGCTATTGTAAGCTGTTACACTAGCATTGTTTGGATTGACAAATTTAATGAACATTTTATAATTTCTGTTAACTATGAGCTTTACAACACCATCTCTCACTAAGCACAAAGTATATCTTTTTAACTCAGCAAAATTTTAAGGTTTTAGGTTACCACAAAGATTTTTAGGCTGTAGATAGGTATACACACTGTAACACACAATTAAAAAGGTGTTCACGTGCCACACTTATTTAGTTCACTCATTCATAACAACTATGCTAGATCACTTATAGGACCTTTACTGAATATCAGACAAAGCTAAGCCTTTAAGCATTTTATTCTTAAAAGATTTAGCAGATAACATCAACTTAAATGACCTTAGGTAACCTTAGGCAGCTGATAACCAACCACAAGGACATGCCCGCCTCAGGCAAACCCAAATCAGCATTACTGCTTAACATTTTTTATCAGATTTTCTGGAAGTTTTAGAATGCCCAATTTTCACAAGCACTTGTTTTTAAATCAATTTTTATTAATACCATCTGGAGGTAGGAGAATATTTTTCATTTACACACCTAGACACACAAACATAAAAACTGAGACACAACGACTACAGTCAGCAACAACCCCCACACAAAAACATATACACAGACAGACAAACCGATATAAAGACTTGAGTCACTGACACCCAATTGCCTTCCCTCTCCTCAGCTTCCTGTCCGTGGCTTCTGGAACCAGAGGGCGGGAGGGGCGTGTTCCGGTGGGGGAAGAGGGCGGTGAAGGCGGAGGGAGAGGGGGAGGGGGTGGCGCAGCCCC